AGCTGCTGGGGAGAGGCCAGCGCAGGGAATGAGGATGATGAAGGGCCGGGAGCATCTGCCCTGGGAGCGAAGGCTGCGAGAGCTGGGGCTGCTCGGCCTGAGGAAGAGGAGGCTGAGGGGGCACCTGGGCAGTGTCCATAGACACCTCAAGGGAGGAGCGAGGAGGACGGGGCGGCCTCTTTGCACTGGTAGCCACTGATGGAACTGGAGGAACCGGCCACAAACGGGAGCCCCAAAAGTTCCCCGGGAACTTCAGGAGAAATCCCTGGTGGTGACGGTGGCTGAGCCCTGGAACAACCTGCCCAGGGAGGCTGCGGAGGCTCCTGCTCTGGAGATCCTTAAAACCCGCTTGGATGGAGCTGGTGCCACCTGCTCCGGGTGTCCCTGCATGTGCAGGGGGTTGGACGGGATGGTCTCCAATGAGAGACCATCCAAAGGGGCTCCAAAGTCCTCCAAAGTCGAGGACGATCCCTAGAGGTCCCTTCCAACCTCAACCATCCTGGACGCACCTGGTGCCACCTGCTCCGGGTGTCCCTGCGTGTGCAGGGGGTTGCCCTGGGTGCTCTCCAAAGGTCCCTTCCAACCTTAAGGATTCTATGAGGAACGAGGCTGGAGACCGTGACCGAGTCACATTCAGCAGTGTGAACTCCTCTGCATCGCCTGGCCCCAAGGTCCTCTTCTCCCCAGAGAGCCACCGCTAAGCTCCAGGAGAGGCCTAGCAGCTCCTCACTCAACCCGGCTTTAAGCTGCTTGAAACCGTAAGAATTCCATGCGTGGATGCGAATCCCAACATTATGGAAATTATTTCAGATTATTTATTTACCGTCCTGTGAGTCGTGTAGTTGGAGGCGGCGACAAAGATCTCGGGGCCTGGATGCTGCTGGTGGGTGACGGAAAGGGAGAAATCCCGGGTTTAAAGCAGCCGAATTACGTGTGGGCTGGGGCTCCCTCCTCTTTCTTGACTCTAGAGACCCATTTCACTCAAGTTAACCCCCAATTCCTATACTTTTCATCCCACAATCAAAGACTTGAAGTCTTGCTCCTGAACGGGGGGCTGGAGCAAGAAGGGAAGAAGACAACTTCCCAACCCCCTGAGCTTTGTGTCCTGTCCATGGGGCGGTTTTGGTGCTTTCTCAATAAATACTTGGCGTGTGATCTTGTAGGGCACATACAGCTCTCGCTGTAGGACGGTGTGATGGGATTTCAAATGAGAAGATTTCGGAGCAAGCCAAATATTCTTGGTCACGATGCTCTTCTCCCATGCTGGACGTAGCTGGAGCTTGGAGCCAAGCAGAGCCCTGTGTGTGGGTGCACTGGGAGCCCCTTCAGTGCCCTGCTTGCCTCTGGAGGGCAGAGACATCGTTTCCCGTTGGAAATTCCTCCTGTTGGTTGTATTTTAATGGAGCAAAGATGACCTCCTGGCCCTGGGGGCTCTTCCATCTCCATTAAGATGCCAAGGAAGGGGTGATATCGCTCCAAATGAAGTCAAAATTTGGCGTGGTTCGTGGTGCCGTTTGCATTCGATCTCATCAGTGTGGTCCAAAAGGCCCACGAGCTTCACAGGGGACCTGGCAGCAGCTCTCGGTGGGAGCCAGGGCTGCGGCAAGCCAGGCTGTCACCTGGCACGGTGACGTCCACCACCGGATGTCACGCTGTCACCTGGCACGGTGACATCCACCCCAGGAGCCCCCAGGGCTGGTGCCTGGGGTCTAGCTCTGTCTCCGTCCCGAGGGTGCAGGATTAGGGAGAAAACGGGGCACAAATTCCGAGAAAAATGCCCTCTGGGGCTCCTTTAGCCCCCGAGTTGCAAGATAAGACATCCTTGATAAGGATGGGCCACGTGGAAACACGTTCATCGTGAAACCCAGCTCTCAGTTCTTCCCAATATTATCCAAGATTCCCACATCTAGCTGTGGTTTGGGGGTAGAAATGTGGAGTTCCTCATGGTGTTGCCCTGTTGGACTTACCTGGTGTCCCTGGTTCTCTTGCAGTGACCCGTCACAACCACCTCAAGGACTTCATGCTGGTGGTGTCCATTGTCATCGGCGTGGGCGGCTGCTGGTTCGCTTACATCCAGAACCGCTATTCCAAGGAGCACATGAAGAAGATGATGAAGGACCTCGAGGGCCTTCACCGAGCTGAACAGTCTCTCCATGACCTTCAAGAAAGGTAACTTCCCCCCCTGAGAAGGACTCGAGCGGTGAACACGGCATGGCGTGCCCGAGCACGGCTCCCCATGCTTGCTCAGGGACGGTTAACATGCTAACATGCATTTTTTTGCTCGTTCTCTGTTGCTTTTATGCCTTTTTTAGTTATGTATTTAGTTTTTTGCTTCTCCTTCTGCTCTGATTTTCATTACGGGCTCTGAGAAACTGGCTTTGAACCTTGGGGAGAGCTTCAGTGGCGTCTGCTGCCTCTTGACACGCAAGGGCCCCCGTCCCCCTCGTGCTCCTCTGCTTTGGGAATTTAACCTGCCGAGGTTGCCCTGCATCCCCCTTGCCCTTGGGTGCTCCCTTGGCAGGGTGCTCCCTTGGCAGGGTGCTCCGGCCTCCTTTTGGGCATGATTTTAATCCTGTTTATCTCCCTTGGTGCCACGAGCGATGGTTTGTGCTCCTTGTCCAACTGGGGCTGAAATATTTCAGGATTCTTCCTTTTTTTTCTTTGTCTACTGTTAAATTTTGGTCTAAACCTGCACCTAGAAGGGAAAAAAATAGCCTTTTCCTTTTTTTTCCTTATTTATTTATTTATTTTTAAAAGCCTTTTTTAAGGCAGACGGGGATCACAGCGTTGCCCTCCGTGTTTTAGCAGGGCTCGAGTGAGGGACATCAGCAGGGGCGTCGCAGCCCCGCGCGAATCGAAACTCAGACAGGTTTGCCCGAAAGCATTAAAAAGGAAATAATTCCTGGGGATTAAATATGAACAGCTAAAATCTGGGCCCATATTGCTGCTGGGATCTGTCCCTTGTGCGGCTAGGCAGGGGTCGGCGGCCTCGGGGAGGCAGCCTCTATTGCAGGAATAGCTGCAGAGCATCCAGCGACGTGTCCCGCACGGGAGCGAGTTGTGGATGGAGACCCTCGTCCCCAGGGGAGCACTGAGCCCCAGCAGTGTCACCCCAGCCCCACGTTGTCCTCTCAGCAGTGGGGTTTGGTTTAAGCCTAGATGTAGCAACGAAGCCCTGCAGGCTTGGCCTCGCTCTGGTTTTATTTATTTCCAGTGCAGTTTTCCAGGGTAAAGTTTAATTTTAAAGTGTGCAGAACACAGCCCCGCTGGTGGTGCCAGCTGCTCCTGGGCCCGTGTGGATCCCAAGAATTTGGGAATGTCGCATGCAGTGCCCTGGGACGCGGCTCCTTCCACCCCAGAGCCCGTTGTGAGTGACCCTGTCGCTCAGGGCTCATGGGGACCATCAACCATCAGATGGGGACAACTGTGTGCAGTTGTGGGCTCTCCAGGACAAGAGGGACGTGGAGCTGCTGGAGAGGGTCCAGCAGAGAGTGACAGGGATGACCGAGGGACTGGAACATCTCTTGTGTGAGGAGAGACTGAGTGAGTTGGGGCTGTTGAGGCTGGAGAAGAGGAGGCCGAGAGGGGACCTGGTCAGTGTGTGCAAGCAGCCGAGGGGAGGATGGAGGCAGGAAGGGGCCAAGCTCTTGTGGGTGGTGGCCAGGGGCAGGCCAAGGGGCAGTGGGTGCAGGTTGGAGGCCGGGCAGCTCCATGTGGCCGTGGGGAAGAACTTGTTTGGTGGGAGGGTGCCCGAGCCCTGGTTGAGGCTGCCCAGGGAGGCTGCGGAGGCTCCTGCTCTGGAGACCTCCCAAACCCACCTGGATGTGCCCGGGTGCCCCATGCTCTGGGTGTCCCTGCTGGAGCAGGGGCTGGGCTGGGTGATCCCTAGGGATCCTTGTCAACCCCAACCATTCCGTGGGTGCCCCGTGCTCTGGGTGTCCCTGCTGGAGCAGGAAGGTTGGACTGGGTGATCTCTAGAGGTCCCTTCCAACCTCAACCATTCTGTGGCCATGCTGGTGGTGCCACACTCGGCCCAAGGCCGTGCCCGTGACACAGATGGAGGATCTGCTTCCTTTTGCCATGAAGAGAGAGGAAACGACTCTGTAAGTCTAACGAGGAGCCGGGCCTAGTGCCAGGCTGCCTCGCAGAGCTTGGTCCTATGTTATGGTTCACGCTGGAAAGAGCCCAAAGGGAAAGCGGGTCCCATGGCCAGAAAGCGGCAAGGATTCCTCCTGGGACCCCTGCTCCTGGGGGAGTCTTCGGCGGGCCGCAGAGCCGAGGCCAGCATGAAGAGCGCGATGAAGAGTGGGATGAAGAGTGGGATGAAGGAGCAGCTGGGAGCAGCCTGGAGCCACTGCTGTGATTCCACAGGCCGGGATGAAGAGCGGGATGAAGAGCGGGATGAAAGAGNGCTGGGAGCAGCCTGGAGCCACTGCTGTGATTCCACAGGCCGGGATGAAGAGCGGGATGAAGAGCGGGATGAAAGAGCAGCCCCGGAGTAGCCCAGAGCCGCTGCTGTGATTCCACAGGCCAGGATGAAGAGTGGGATGAAGGAGCAGCCCGGAGCCGCTGCTGTGATTCCACAGGCCAGGATGAAGAGTGGGATGAAGGAGCAGCCCAGAGCCGCCGCTGTGATTCCACAGGCTGGGATGAAGAGCGGGATGAAGGAGCAGCTCGGGAGCAGCCTGGAGCTGCTGCTGTGATTCCGCAGACCGGGCACGACCTTGGGCGCTGTTGCCCAGGGCAGGACAACATAAACAAGCCGGAGTGTCCGGCAATGGAGCTAATGCCGCAAAGCTGGAGCTCGGGAGAGTCCGCAGAGGGCACCCAGCGGCACCACCCGGCTCACCGCGGGGCCTCTGCGCCCCAAAAATGGGTCTAATTCCTCCCTAAGTGGGTCTAATTCCTCCCTAAATGGGTCTAATTCCTCCCTAAATGGGACAGAGGTCTGCGCTCCTCCGGCCTTGCCTCCCGGGAAGCACCCAGGGAGGGAATGGGAACAACTGGGGTTGGAAACCTCGTGGACAGGCGGAAAAGTCCCGCTTTTGTCCCCACACAACGCGGGAAACCAGTTCTGCTCTCGGGAATGATAGTAGGAAAGGAAAATACACCCTGGGATAGAGGCCTTGCAAAACCTCAGGGGTGAAGTTGATCCCTTCCTGGGCATCAAAATCCTGGGGAAATTCTCCTTTAACTGGAGGCATTTGGGATTCTTGGGAGGCCGGGAATGGGAGAGCTGGAGCGGCGCGGGGAGCTGGAATGTCTTGGCAGGCCTCGTCCTTTGGCAGCAACAGCCTCGGAGGTTCTCAACAGAGCTGTGAGTTGGAAATAAACTTCTCACAGCGCAGAGCCGTGGATGACACGAGCGTGGCCCATCCGGATTTGGTGGGAATCGCCCTTTGCGGGGCAAAAATCAGCCTGGGTGACGGATCCTGAGCGGCTCTGCTCACCAGGAGCACGTGGAGCAGCTTCATTCTTGGTCCGAGAAGATCTTGGTCACCGCAGAGATTCAGAATGACAGGATGCCAGTGTGGCTGAGGGTGCCAAGGATCCCTAGGGATCATCCAGTCCAGCAGGGACACCCRGAGCACGGGGCACCCGCTCCAKCCMGGSGCGKTGGGAAGGTCTCCAGAGCAGGAGCCTCCGCAGCCTCCCTGGGCAGCCTCAACCAGGGCTCGGGCACCCTCCCACCAAACAAGTTCTTCCCCACGGCCACATGGAGCTGCCCGGCCTCCAACCTGCACCCACTGCCCCTTGTCCAGCCCCTGGCCACCACCCACAAGAGCTTGGCCCCTTCCTGCCTCCATCCTCCCCTCGGCTGCYTGCACACACTGACCAGGTCCCCTCTCGGCCTCCTCTTCTCCAGCCTCAACAGGCCCCGCTCGCTCGGGCTCTCCTCATACAAGAGATGTTCCAGGCCCAAGGCTTGGTTAAATCCTCTATATTACATAAGAACAAGCATTTTTCTTCGATGTCTGGTCTGATTACCAACATATGTGCCATATGGAGCTGTATTTGGTAGAAATCGATGCTTTTTTCCCACTATTTTTGTGTCCATCTCGTCTGAACCAGAGCTGGAGGGCAGGCCCCTTTCCGAGCAGGTAGCACCGGTAGGTTTGTAGGAGCAGTCGCTCTCTTTCCCTTTCATCCCCCATGAGATTTCAGGTCCTGTGGTTGTCACCAACCTCAGGTGATGATTTCTCCATCTTTTCCTAGGTGAGGAACATTCAACCTTATTTACAAGGCAGGTACAGGGAGCCCAGGGCCGACTCCTGCTGTCCGCTCCATGATCCGTCACTCCTGGGCATCTCCTGTTATTTTATTCTCTATTTTGGATCTTAAAGACTGAAATGGGGAGAAATTTTGCTATTTGGACACTCTCAATTCTATCTAAATTGGTTCCACTGGTGGTTCTAAGCAGCTTGACTGGGTTTCCTTTCAATCCAGGTGGAAGGGTCTATTAGACTGGTAATAAAAGCCATAATAATGTATTGTACTCAATCCAGTAGCTGGAATAGATGGTCTAGAAATCCATCCCCTCTCCATTTGAAGGGACACAAAGCTGGAGTCTCCACGTGCCTCCGAAATTCCATCCTGCCTTTACTCAGGGCCACGTTTTCCAAAGAAGGAGGATCTTAATTTTCCCTTGGGATCACTAGGATTCTGGCTGCTGGTCCTTGCAAAGAAGGAAACCCTTTAATATTCTGAGGTTTTTTTGAAGGGCACTACTAACTCAGCATGAGTTTTCAGCACCTTAATTATGAAATGAACCTCGTTTCAATTGGGTATTTGCCAATTTGAGTATTCTGTTGAGTATTTGCCTCATTTCGAGTATTTTGTTAAATTTTGCAGTTTTTCTCCCTGGGAAAAAAAAGGAGAGGCGCATGAAATATGCTTTGAAGAGGCCCAACTAACGTTCAGAGGTCGTCTCTTTCTTTTTAAGGCAAAACTCTTTGTTTCTATAAAAGTATGGCAAACTCAAATGAGCGTGGAGCTTATTTTAGCAAACCTTGGTAATTTGGCTAATTAAGCAAATAAGCAGAGTGTTTTTGGAGAACAACTCAGGCTGAATCTCTGCTGCTGCCAATTGAACTTCTTCCCAGGCACGGCGACATTTCCCCTTGGCTTTGCCAATACGCCCCTCTGTTGACATCAATAGAGTAAATAAATCAGACATCAAGAGAGTAAATAAATCAGAGTTTGGCTCCGGGGACCCTGTGGGTGCCGGGGCGCTTGTGGCCCGTCCCCCAGCCCGGCGCCGGGCGCTCTCTCCGTGTCGCAGGCTGCAGAAGGCGCAGGAGGAGCATCGCTCCGTGGAGGTGGAGAAGGTGCACCTGGAGAAGAAGCTGCAGGACGAGATCAGCATGGCCAAGCAGGAGGCGCACCGGCTGCGCGAGCTGCGCGAGGGCACCGAGAACGAGCTCAGCCGGCAGAAATACGCCGAGCAGGAGCTGGAGCAGGTGAGGGGTCCTCCACGCACCTCCACGCTCGGCGTCACCCTGCTCACGAGCGCGCCGGTGCTCTGCCCCTTTGGCTTTTGCTCCCCTTTGCCGCAGGGAAAGGAGCAGGTTCTGGTCCTGCAGACCACGTCTGGTCTGCAGGGGCTTTGCAGGTGCTGAGCCACAGAATCCCCGAATATTCAAGGTTGGAAGGGACCTCTAGAGATCATCTAGTCCAACCTTCCCGCTCAAGCAGGGACACCTAGAGCATGTGGCACAGGGCGGCATCCAGGTGGGTTTTGGAGACCTCCAGAGAAGGAGACTCCACAACCTCCCTGGGCAGCCTGTTCCACTGCTCTCTCACCCTCACAGGAGTGATTGTGCTGCCACCCTGCATCTCCTCTGCTCAGCCTAACTCTAAATCCCAAGCCTAAGCTCCCTCTTGCTTTCTTTTCCCCTTTTGCACCTCTTGGTGCCTTTAGGAGTGGTTGAGAACAACACCAGTTCTTCATACCGTGTTTTTTCATGGAGTAGAGATGTGCAAGCCCAACGGCCAAGATCAGCCCAGCTCCTTCCCTTTCCAAGGAAATTAAGCACCAGATTAAAATCTACAGGGTTTGGGCTCATCTATGCAAATCCCCAGGACATTAGTCCCGAGACACACCTCGAAATGAAGGCCTGCAAAGGTCAGATGTAAATATCTGCGAATGTTGTTGTTGGCCACAATGAAAGCCCTGTTTGCTCCCCAAGGTCATGCGGACCATTTGTGTGGTATTAAAATAACTGCTCAGAGGCCAGCAAAGACTTTGCAATCCTATACCTAACCCCCCCCAAGATCTAAAATAAAAGGCACAAAAGCTTTAATAAAATAGATAAAAAATGTAAATCGGGGATGCTTTTAATGGGGCCTGTCCGCAGTAGCAGAGGACCAAATAAAAGCCTAAAGTTTTGCCTCAAAACTGTGTTTCCTGCAAAGGAAGTCCCCAAAATGATTCCTGTTGCTCCTTCCTATTTTAACCACGGGAAGAATTTTAACTGGCTTTAATTTATAGATCAGTTGAAACTGAAATTGTGCAAGCCGGAGCTGCCTGAGCCAGGCAAGCCCCTTGGATAATCTTGGGCCGTTCAACTGATCTTCCCACCCACGTGGCCAATCTGGTTTGTACGGAGGATGGGGAAGCGAATGAAACAGGACCCTGGGATTTCCACTGATAAGGGGAGAAACATCTCCTGGTCCTCAGGTAACCTGAGAAAATAAGATAGAGAAATATAAAGTAATATAGATAGATAATACAGAAATATAAAATAGATAATACAGAAATATAAAATACAGAAAATAAGCAAAGAGCAAATTGCCTTTTCCCTTCCCTTCCCGTGTGGAATACCAGCAGTCCATCCACAGAGCCCTTTTGCAAGCTTGGCTTTCTTGATCCTAGCTCATTCCTATCTTGTCCTACGGACTTTATAAACTCATGGAGCTCCATTTCAGAACATGCATTTGGACATCACCGTTTCTTTTAAAAATAAACAAAAAGAAAGAAATTCAATCATTTAATACTGCAGGCTGTTCGGCGAGGATGTGTAACCTTTCTGTGGTAACTCTGAGCCCTTGTCCTGACCTGCTCCTCGCCTTTGGAGAAGGCAGAGTCCCATCCATTTCACTTTGCACCTCACTCATGTTGTGTCTGCAAGGTAGAGATGACCTTGCAAGGTAGAGATGACCTTGCAAGGCAGAGATGACCTTGCAAGGCAGAGATGACCTTGCAAGGTAGAGATGACTTTGCAAGGCAGAGATCACTTCGCAAGGTAAAGATGATCTTGCAAGGCAGAGATGACTTTGCAAGGCAGAGATGACCTTGCAAGGCAGAGATGATCTTGCAAGGCAGAGATG